GCTGATCATCGATCATTTCAATTGGAGCAGCTGTCCATGTCCAATAATCCTTGTCCACTGGAATGGACTGTCCAGTCCAATAGAGTTCCACTGGACTGGTCCAATCCAATGCCCAACACTGAATCCAGTAGATGCGTTAGTAAACATTTTTTATAAAAAAAAATACAACAAAAATTAACCAAGACAAAGCAAACCCAGTACACAGAAAATTTCATCAATCATCTCAAAATTTAAATATTAACCATTAATCATCCAACCCAACCAAATTTACCATATATTATCGCACTCAATACACAAATATTATTGATATTTTTTCATTATCACATGATCCAATCCAGTAAATGCAATAAGACGCGTTAGTAAAGCCTATATACAAAAAAATTAAAAAAAAGAATAAAACAGACAAAGCAACCCAGACCACATCCATGATTATTACAACATAATCATTGGTTCTTCCAGTTCTTCCATTATTAGTTACACTTCCAAAGAGTTATCCGGCCCAAATGCAATTAGGCTCGTTATTAAAGTTATAAATAAATAAAGCAAAACAAAAAATCAAGACATGATAAGGCCAGTTCACTGAAATTTCGTTAGCATCTCCAAATAGACAGTCCAGTTAAAGTAAATTGAACGCGTAAGTAAAAGTGATGCATAAACCAAAAGAACTAAGAAAACGCAAACCCGGTCCCCAGGATATTTTATAATGATACGTATTATCTTCCAAATCATTACATTTTCCAGTTACTTCATATATTTTATATCATGAGATTTAAAATTAAATTCGTTAATAGAATATAACGATAATGATATAAAAAGAAATAAAAATAACTAAACTATATAGCAAACAAATCTAATTCAAGACAATTTCGTTATAAAAGTTAAATATATTTTAAAAAACAAAACTATAAAGCAGGCGCACCTATTATCGTAAACTAAGAAGGGAAAGAGAGTGAGTAGGAATAATTACGTTTACTCGAACATTATTTTATTATTTTATAAACAATGAGAAAGAATTTGATTGGTTAATAAATTTGGCGTTATTTGCCAATCATTCCCAAAATTATTTAATGGAATAAAAGCAAGAATGTTATGCGACAAAAAAATATTTTTTTTATTTATTTTTTATACTAAATAAATGACCAGTTACATACAATGTGATGTGAATATTAATTATATAATAAAGATTTCAAATTAACGCAAATAAATTCTTTACCAAAGAAATTATAAACATATAAAAGTTTCTAAAATAATTATCTTCCGTTTTGAACTCTGCAAAAAAAATAAAAATAAAAATATCCGCATCCACAAAATGTTTCACCACAATGTTACATTTGATGTCTATGCTAGACAACTAAAAAAATAAAGAATACTGTAAAATGTAAGTATTTGCGTTATTATCATCAAGAACCAAGAACGTTCGCAATAATTTGTGACTGTGAGCTTTCGATTATCATTTAAACCTCCAGGGTGTGGAAGACTTCGGAAACAGGGAAGAACGTTCACAGAAAGAACAAGAACACTCTCAGGAGAAATGAAATACGCCATGAATTGCAAGCTTCCATGATTTTTACAAAGGAAGACACCTATAACCAATTCTTAATACAGAATCAATAGACCTTCATTTCAGAAACTCCCTTCAAGGTTTCTTCATTCCGCCATCCTGAAGGTGCCCCCACTCAAACTGTGGACACGAAGAGCTTTCAATTCCCAGATTAATTTATACCTAGTGGCAGTGCAACTTCAGATACACAACGACTCGACAAATAACTCAGTGACTACTTACCTAATTCAATATTATTTTTCTATTGCTTATATATATCCAGTTTTTGTTTAGTGATTTATTGCTACACGAAAGATATAATATCTACTTCTCATCATTACTTAATTAAAATTACTTTCAGAATTTCGTGTAAAAAAGAAGAAGTAAGTAAGTTTTGAAGAAAAAGCTAAAAAATAAAAATAAGATAAAATATATTTATTTTGAAAATCAAAATAGGAACGGCTTACATATAAGAATATCTAACGCGTCGCAATAAATAACGACGTATCTCTAAATCATGAGTTAAGTTTTCATAAAATGGTTTATTATATAATAAAAAATTGGAGATTAAACATTCATTCCGTACAAAATGAATTATAATGGAGATAATAAACTTACCATTAAAAAACGAAATTACAATTAATATGAGAATATACAATATAATCTAATAAAAAACTTATTAGTGCCAATCCTTAAAGAACAATTTGCAAGTACCTGAGAAGTAGATGAGCCGTTAAACAAAACTCAAAGTTTTATGTTTGCGGTTGATTCTTCTGATGAAGTAAATAAACTTGATAAAATTGCTTTCCTCATATTCTAATCGATTAAAGTCCTATCTCTTTACAACATCATCATCATCTGCACAATCCAAGATTATACACCAATTTATATTTAATAATTGCAGAATATTAGGCCACGAATATCTGTTGAGCATAATTTAACACATGCAAGCCATGAGCTTGTTTAAAATAAGCGAATGGTAACCTTTTCATCTGATTCTGCTGTTGGCTCTAACCGCGACCTAGTATTTATCGTTTATTATCAATAGTGTTAAACAGCTTGCACAGGACTTTGTATTTTTTTGTATATTTCTGTATTTTAAATACGGTCGTTTAGTTAAAATACGTTAAATTTCATTTCTTAATCGCGACGTGGGATAAAAATTACACTAAATGTTCTAAAGGATCTAATTGGCACTGTACAATGACAAAAGGTTACGAAACATAACATTATGGAAGATGAAATATTTAACAACAGCATAATATAATGTTGAATAAATCAATAATTAATGTCTTTACCTTAATATGATTCACAACCAATGTGTCCGGAAGGATGGGGCTATTGCATTAAATTGTAGTTAAGTATCAACTATCATTACCACTACTAGTAAACCATACTTTTGTTGGTATCCTTCCCTTTAAACAATATCATTATTAAGGAGAGTACGAACGAGGATATTTATTGTTTTCTCTCAAAATCAAAGAAAAAGGCGTTAACTCATTAAAAAGATTCCAAAAAAAAAATTTTTTTTTATAGTGCATGCCAAAAATTATCATACATGTACAATATACATATACATAGATTCACTTTTCTCTTTATTGAATAAATAATTTATCTGTTACAATTTAGTCGCTGAAATCAAAAGTTGGTCTATCTTATGTTCTGGTCCCTAAAACGAAGTTGGAATTTCAATCACTTGGATCATAGCAATTATACCATTGCTCAGGAGTGCAACCAAAATGATCCTCAAAATCAAAATCATCGTAACCGGTACCATTATCAGCGTCGTCTGAAAATTTATTGAAAAATTCTGAATCCAAACGTTTTAATAAGTTTTCCAACATATATTGATGTTTTTTAGCACTATCAATCTTGCGGACTACTCGAGGTTGGATCACAACTGGAGGTTTTTCATCATACGGTTCCATCAAAGTTTTATCTGGGTGAAAATAAAACTTTGAAGAAATTTTGTCACCTTTGTCGAAATGCCAATGTGCAGTTACAACTTTTGAATTTTTCGACATTTTTAAACGGTAATTTTCAAAATTAAATCCCAAAGTGCTAGTAACCTGAGTTGGAGGTGGGTCTGTTATTGCAAATTCGGTTAAATTAGGGCATTTTTTCAACCATCCCCAATAACATCCGTTAAAGTTCCATTTTACGAGTTCAAGACGTTTGAAGGATTCAAGTCTTGAACTTAATTTCTCGACTAGAATTTTCCCAGTTCCGTTTGGAAATACCAACCGAAGACTTATTGGGCATTTCTGGGCGGTAATGAGTTCTTCAAGATAATTGAGCGACTCTTTGGCACGCTCAACAGAAGTATCATGAAGATTGATATCAATATGAGACTAGAAGAATGAATAATAATTGTGATGAGTTATTAACATATTTATTATAATGAAAGTACTGTACTTCACAATTTATTACCAAACACACTCCAATGATGACAAATTTCAATAATATATATTCCTTTCGGAAAGTGCATAGTAGTGTTTCAAAACTTCATTTAGAAAATAACTTACAAGTTTAGCGCAATTTTCCTTTAATGCCTTCATGACATTATTTTTTGGAAAAGGCGTGTGTATTTCGACGTGAACTAAAGTACTGAATATTGATGCATAACATTGATTCGTCCATAATCCATAAACTCTTTCGTTATTTGCACCGGTATTTTCCATAATAAAAGTGTTAAGACGAACTTCTCGATTTGTTAACATTCGAAATATTGCTTCAACTTTTCTGGCCCTTCCATAGGTTTCTTCGCACGCAAGTAGGTTTGTATAATTGAGTTCCTTGAGAAAAATGGGATAATCGTAAAGTGGTTGATTTTTATGAATTGTAGATTTTCCTGCCGATCCGCTTTCTTGTTCCAGAAACGATTCATAAACCTTGAGTGCGAGCATACATCTTTTCTTTGTATGACTGAACGGAGCTTTCCAATACAATGGAACGGCGGCTTGACTCCATTCTCGGTTAACTAGAAGTGCCGAAAGTAAATCACGAACACTAAGGTCTTTGAGAACCCTTTCAATGACATCCACCATCGATATAACAAATTGGAAGTTGCTAACAAATTGAATGAAAATCGTTTATTTATCAAAAATTGAAAATTGCAAATCCTTGTTCATCCAGATATGGCAATTTCTATGGTATAAAAAAAAGCCAAAAATGTCCAGATCTACATATTTAATCGTCATTCTCATTGATTTTATCCTTTAATAATTTGGTTTGTCAAATCACTACTATTTATTATCCTATACCTAATTTTATATTATGTATTTAAAATAGTTGATCGCAGTTTCTTTCAATTAAATGATAATTTCATTTCGTTATTTATATTAAAGATTTCTTTCCAATAAACTACCTACACAAGTTCTCTTAAATCTGTCCTTTCTCTTACCTTTGAATTTTAAAAAAAATTTTATAAATCAATCTATTTTGCATAACCAAATTAAAAGTTTGAGACATGAATTATCCAACACATATGATATATATTTATGCTGTTTCGCGAAAATGCATTTCACGTGATCTTAAATTGTAACTGACGCTCCGCTTTGATTACATGCTACATTATAGCAAATTAATACAAGATTTTGCAAATTTGCAAATTAATTAGTAAAATAAAAAAATATTATTCATGAGATACACTATAGGAAATAGACAAATTCTGTGTTCTGCTCACATGATAATTGTACTAAGGTATCAAACTCTGGTCTTTGCTGTCGGTAAATTCGTTCAGAGCTTATTGTAAAAGTATTAAAGGATTCTATAAATACCTATTGGGTCAACAAAGGGAACATTTATTTCATTGATGTCGAGTCAATGTGGGCCATAGATTTCTTTAATAAGTCAAGTGGATTGTGTGGGCTGCAATGTAGTGGCAAAAATGTGATAAAAAAAAATTCGTGAGTAAAAACAAAGCTTTATTATTTTACTAATGTTTTTGATGGGTTAAACTTCACTTCAAAATCTGCTTCCCATCGGTCAGGTGATAAATATAGAATCGATCGATATATTTCCAAAAAAATCTTTCATTTTTTGGTTCTTTATCAACAGGTAAACCTTCCCAATATTTAGAATTGAAACTTATTTTTACATGTATAATAGGCATTTGACAGAGTTAAGATGATTTTGAAATGAAATGTGATTGTCGTTATGATTAGGCCAGACAAAGAAAAATTTTTAATTTTTAGATAAAGTTTTAAAATTGACACGGTCACCCGGGGGTTTTTTTTTCTTTTTCATATGTAAGTTTTTTATATGTATTGTATTCTAGATCACACAAATATTAAAGATTTACCAATCAGATGGCATAATATTTATATATAATATAAAATAATCATTAATAAACTCCGGGTTTCTGGGTCGATTTTAAAATTTCAATGTACGTGAACCGAAAAATCGAAGTTGCATGGCCTAAGCATCTTTTGCATATTAAACTTGCTACAAATTTATTTACGTTTAAGAAAAATGTTTTATAATACCTGTTAAGCTTTTATTCACTTTAACCTTTATTGTAATTTCAGGCATAGTATAAATTTAAAAGTAAATTTTTTCAAATTTATTGAACAAAGTTTATTATAGTTTCCAAGTAATCATTTTTTTTTTTTATTTCTTATGTTAACAAGACTTCGTTCCTTGACTTTTTATTTTTAATAATTGAAATTGTTGTAGGGTATAATTTTTTTTTTTTTATAAAAGTATTAAAATTAATAAAATTCAAAAAAAGGTATACTAATTTTTTCTAAAATATTGAGATTAATATCAACAACCCAAATAGTAATGATATTCTTATTATTTGAGGATTACTGCGCAAAATATAAATTAAAGATGTAATTTAATTTTTAAGGAAATAAAATAACTCTAAAATCTAGTTTTAGTCAAATCGGGAAGACTAAGAAAAAGTTCTTTTTTTTGAAGCGGTTTTTTTTTGACGTAGTGTAACATTACAGTGGGGAGACAAAAATCACCAGTGACTTTTGTCCACCATTGTAATACATACATATTTGGCATATCCTGAGCTGCTGCATTTTTTTTCTTTAAAAAAAAAAAAATGTCAAATAATATTTATATTGATTGGTTAAATGATTCTATTGCTAATGATCATATTAAATGTTACGAATACTCGGACTTCAAAGATAAAAAAGCTATAGGGAATGGCTCATTTGGAAAAGTTTGTCGTGTTAATTGGAAAAATAAAAGTGTTTTCGCCTTGAAATCCTTTAATAATCCTCGAGAGGTCATCAAAGAAATTGTGGAAGAGGTACAATATTCTATAATTATTTTAAATAATAAATAACATATACATTAAATACTTGTTTTATATTTGTAATACAGCTTAAACTGCATCGGAAAGTTAGTTATCATGAAAATATTATACGGTTATATGGAATCACAATGGAGGAACCCAGTCAGTAATAGAAACATATTGTTATTGGATTTTATGACTATTCTTTTTTTTTTTATTAATTTATAAAATAACCTTTATATTCAGATGTGTATTCTTTAGTCTTGGAATATGCGAATAGCGGCACATTGAAAGATTATTTAAATAAGCATTTCAGTGAACTTAATTGGGATGACAAATACCAATTAGCACTTCAACTGACAGGTGCTGTAGAATTTTTGCATGATGAAAGTATTATTCATCGTGATCTGGTAATATAATTTTTTCCTATTCTAACTGCTTTGCTAAATATGTTATGTTATTAATTTGAACTTTTTATACCAACATATAAAGCATGCCAACAATATACTAATGCATCAGAAAATTATTAAATTAGCAGACTTTGGTTTATCAAGAAAAATTACGGAAGCTTCAAGTAATGCATTAAATATATTTGGTGTGATACCTTATATGGACCCAAAATGTTTGGAGAATAAATGTTGCAGAAAGAATAAAAAATCTGATGTTTATAGCGTCGGAGTACTTATGTGGCAAATTTCAAGTGGACGTGCACCATTTGATAGTTATGGTAATTATGATGTAAATTTAAGCATCAATATAGTTCAAGGATTAAGAGAAGTAATTGTTCCAGGAACTCCTATCAAATATAGTAAATTATATGAAGGTAAATGAATATATTTTTATTTTTAAAATTAAAAAGAATTAATTTTATTATTTCACGTATATGATTAGAATGTTGGAAAAATGAACCAGATGCACGACCAAATATACAGAAAGTTGTTTCAACTCTTGAAACAATAATTAATAATAATTATGAAGTTGAAAGTAATAGTAATGAATCTAAACTAAGTAATATAACTGTTAATTGTGATTCCAAGCTCAATGATTTAGAAATTGACAATTGTGGTAATACAAATAATTCAAATCAAAACTCTGTCCAGTTGAATACATTTATTGAAGCTTTAATTTTTAATATAATTAAGAAACATGATGAAGGTGTTTTACTTGGTCGGATTAAACATTATATCATTCAACAAATTTTAAAAGTAAATCAAAATTCAAATAAATTAATAGATTGGTTAAAAAAAAATCAAAATAAATCACAATATATTTGGTTATTTGGATTGTTTTATTATTATAATATTAGTGTAGAAGAAAATCATAAAAAAGCTTGTGAATTATTTTTAAAATCAAAAGATGATTTTTTATTAGCCCAAGTTTATTTTGCTAAATGCTTTTATGATGGATATGGAATTGAAAAAAATTATAATTTAGCATTTAAATATTATCAAGAATCAACAAAAAATGGAAGTATAATTGGGCAATATTACTTAGCAAATTGTTATCAATTTGGTATTGGAATAAAAAATGATAATAAAAAAGCATTTGAATGGTATTCAAAATCCGCTGAAAATGGAAATAGTGAAAGTCAAAATAATTTAGGTTATTATTACCAATTTGGTATTGGAATAGAAAAGGATAAGAAGAAAGCATTTGAATGGTATTTAAAATCTGCTACAAATAAAAATGCTAAAGGTCAAAATAATTTGGGTTATTGTTATTTAAATAGTATAGGAACAGAAAAAGATGATAAGAAAGCGTTTGAATGGTACTTTAAATCTGCTAAAAATGAAAATGCTGAAGGTCAATATAATTTGGGATATTGTTATCGTTTTGGTGTTGGAGTTGAAAAAGACGATATAAAAGCAAATGAATGGTATATAAAATCCGATGCCAAAAATCGATATAAACTAGGTCATACTTATCAGCTTGGTATTGGAACAAAAGATGATGATAAAAAAGAATATTGGTGGTATATTGAGAATACTCAAGGTCAATTTAAAATATTATTAAAAAAATTTAAAATTTTATTAAAAAATTTTATAATATCTTTAAAAAAAAAGTTTAATCATCCAAGAGATAAAGATATTATAGCTGATATTGATGTATTATCTCAGGTAACGTGTAATAAAGTAAATTTCGTCTTATGAATATTTTAAATTATTGCTAATTCCATGCCATCATACAGGATATTCATACGGGTGGAAGTGTAACCGATGTCAAGCAAATTGTCTCAAAAGTAGTCAATGCTGATGATAACGATGGAGAACTTATGGAACCAGTAATTAATGAGACGGCATTAGCTATAATACAACCGTATTGGACTTAATAGAACAAACACCATTTGTAAGTTTTTTACCACTTATAAGGGAATTAACCCAATTGTTTAACGAGATAGTAAATATATATAAAACAGCTGAACATAATAAAAAAATATGTGGGTTATTTATGGATAGAGTTCAAATAGCTGATACTGCCGTAAGGAATTTAAAAAATCGTCGAGATGAAAATGTAGAATTTTTTTCACCTCCACTTACAAACATTGATTAACGTTATTGGTAAAATTCGTAAATTTGTTGGAGAAATTTCTCAAATGGCAGGCTTACACAAGTATATTCAAGCTAACAACATTGAAGATTGCGCTAAAGAATTAAGTAATGAATTTGATTCCAAGATACAAACATTGCAGTTCTCTCTGGTGGTTGATTTTAGTATCAATGCTGATAGAGATCATGATGTTATTCTATCTGATATTAAAGATTTGCTACAGGTAATGAGTGTAATATGCATCAATTT